AAGGAAGAAGGAAGAAGGAAGAAGAAGAAGAAGGAGAAGAAGAAGAAGGAGAAGAAGAAGAAGAAGGAGAAGGAGAAGAAGAAGAAGGAGAAGAAGAAGAAGAAGAAGAAGAAGAAGAAGAAGAAGAAGAAGACTTGATCCCATGACCTGTAATGTGTTTGTGATGTTTGACTGTTTTTGAGCCTCATTGGGCTTGAACCTTGAACTTGTCGCTAGTAGTCTCTGCTTCGTAGTCTTAGGCCTTTCAGCCTTGTTGTTTTGTCCGTTTCTTTTCTTTTTTTTTCTTTTTTTCTGTTTTTGCTCTTCTGGAAACTGGTAGACCGGTAGGTCTTTCTTTTGTGTGTCCTAGCCTTGGGTCCCCTTAGTCTAGGTTTCCAGCTAGATGCATGTACTAGGTGGATCTTGAGGGTTTGGCTGTAGATGTTTGCTGTTTGGACGGTCAGATGGGTCTGTAGGTGGCTGGTGTGTTGTAGGTCTAGGGAAGTCGGGTAGAAGTAGGCGGAGGCCGACGAGTTTGGGGTTCGTTTGGTTCTTTTCGTTGCTTTTGTTTTCATGGTCTTGGTGGAGGTCGTGTTGCTTCCCTGCTGCGCTGTTGCGGGCGTGTATGCAGGGCATCTTCTCCACATGCCGCTGGCGGCCATAGCTGGGGCCGGCCAGCTCCATTGGTGACAGCGCTGGGCTCGGCGCCCAAGTGCTGATGAGCGCTTCCTTGTATTTGTGTGCTCGTTGGGGTTTGGTCAGCTGCCATGGAAGCTGCACTTTCAGCGGTTCTTCTTCGACGTGGCAGATCTTCATCTTCATCGAGTTGCTGTTCTTCTTCATCGCCCTGGGAGCTGCGCTCCCCTGCTGAGTGGACACTTCATCTGCAGTGGGCTTCTTGAGTGGYGCAGAGAGGGGTGTTGGATTTAGGAGGGTGCGTGGCGATTGGCAGGCTTGATAGGTTGGGTACTTGCAAGCACCATCGCTAGAGCTTGGGGAAGAGGGAGGAAAGAGAAGACTCCTGGATACTTCCATGAGACCTTGTGAATAATTGGTCCGTCGGTGTTGATGACGTGGTTGGGATCCTTGGAAATTAGCGCTGTTGATTGACTTGGGGAGAGACGGTAATTAGAATTGATTTTCATTTCAATTCTATTTTCAGTATTTGTGTGCTTCCGCTGTGTATTCTTATCATCCAGTGTGGTGTGGATTGCTACCTCCAAAGGTCACTTGTCATTGCACATGTGTATGCGAACGTGTGGATGCCATGTTGGATCTCATTTCAATCAGGCACATAACAGTACTCAACCAGTGAGGGGATCAGATGGCTTGTGCCAACCCCAGGGACAGTGTTTCTCCAGGGGGCATCATTCTTGACCCCTGTTATATCCTAATCTTATCGCAAGTCGAGCCCTATAGCGGTGCGAGCCAGACCCCTCTATCTAGACCTAGACCTATGCCAACCCCTGCCTTCCGAGGGTCTCAGCAGACATTCCCCATCGGGCGCTACCTTAGGGACACCCCGAATTATTGAGGACGACCCGGATACAGGCTAGGCAAACCTGTATCACATCATGCAGACTCTATGGGTAGCGAAGCCACCCTTCTACATTCAATGCGACACTCCTCCCTCCCCTGCCTAAGATGACACCCTTACCTAGAAACCCTTCGCCAGACAGACTCACCGCCCCAGCCGAGTCCTCAGTGGAAACTCAGACAGGTACCAACCGGGATGAAGCCCAGCCCACAAGCATCTTGAGATCAACCTGAAGCCTGCCCATGGGAATCGCATATACGCCTGACACCCAACCACTACCGCTACTCAAGGGTGTGTGCAGAGAGCAGGGTCTACCTGGGACGCAGGATCGTACAATGCAGGTACGGACTCTCTTGTGGGTGGACCATGAGGCTGGGAAACAACTGTCGTAACTCCATCCTCCATCCGGGGCGAGGTAATACCAGGGAAGTGCATCGGATGAAGAACCTGAATCTGGATGGGTTCTAAGGAGAGAAGCAGAAAAGCAGATCAATCACGGTTTTCTGCATCCGATCCGTCCTCAAATGCATCCAGATTCAGGTGCAATAACTCAGCTCAAATCTGCATCAGCCGTGGGCTGAGGGTCGTCACTTTGGTCAAATGCCCGAAACGGCGGCCAAAGGTCGCGCCCAAGTCATAAAATGCCTGAACGAGAGCCTGATCCTGTGGGGTACCCAAAAAAAACAAGGCCAAAACTGGGGTACCCAAAAAAAACAAGGCCAAAACTGGCCTTCGGAGGCCCTACGAGAGGTAGTTGACTTTGAAGAAGTCAACGGTCAACTGCAACTGGCGAATTCAAACCGCAACTGGGGAATTCAGGCCCAGAAGTCAAAGTCAACCCGTTTGCCAGCCTCGGGCGTAGATCGGACACACATCTTCGGTTGTGGGCAGGTATCCAGAAGGATATGGTCCATGTGGGACAGGTGGGAATCTGCAACTGGTCCAGGCCATTGGCTGACGACCGATGCGGGCCGTCGTACCACGGAGACCAGAAGAGGCTGGGCAACGAGAGTCAACGCTATATGTTGACCCAGCCCTTGCTGGAGATCATACAGTCTTGTGCATGCTGCTTGACGCTCATACAGTCTTGTGCATGCTGCTTGACGCTCATACAGTCTTGTGCATGCTGCTTGACACTCATA